AACTTCATTGAAATGCAAATTAAAAATTTATCAATTTTAATATTAAGTTATATTACGTTTTATAAGGCACAGGAATTTAATAAACCAAAATTCTATACACCGGAATTTCAGGGCCTTGTTATTCATAATACACATAATGTATAATAAAAATATTTCATGTATAAATTAAATATTACCCCATTTTTTAGTATACTTTTCAAGTTAATATTAATAAAAGTATATTATGTATCAAGATTGATAAACAACATTTAAGTCACGCTTTTAATTAGACACGAGTGAAGCTTGCAAGCGGGTGTTTAAAATATTAATTAAAACATTTGTACAGAGCAGCCAAATTGGTGTTAGGAATACGTTTTACCTGCTTTAAAAATATAGAAGGAGTTTTTTACAGTGAAAGTGAAAAGGATGTTTTATGGATACTTCGACCGAAATTTGTCATGCTTTATTGTCAAATACTAGTTTAATGATTTTTTAACAATTTATATTCAAAAAATATATTAAATATAAAATACAACTGTAAAACTTTAAGCTTAAAATATTGATTTTTAAAAAAATTATTACAAATATTTTATTCTACAAAATTATCGGTTTAAATTTGTAAAGAGTCATTTAAATGATAGCCGATAATTTTTTAATCCAAAAATTACCAATTTAAAATTTAATGTGAGAATTTTTGTACTAAAAATGTATCATTTCATCATTATTTAAATGACTCTTTACAAATTTAAAATTTAAAAGAACAATTCTTAAAACCCAATATTTTAAACTTAAGTAATTAATTAAGTAATCTGTTACATTTTCATTTTATATTTAAAATTTTGGGTTTTGGGTTTAAAAAAATTTAACTTTTTAAACTGTTTTGGTAAAAAATGTTTATACGAGGTGTGTTCAGAAAATATCGGGAATTTTCGTTTTTTGAAACAAATATTTATTTATTCGTTTACATTAATGTTGTCGGCCCTTTAAGGTTCTCTTTATTTTTGTAAATAGGAAAAAGTCAGACAGAGGCATGTCTGGCGAATATAGAGGCTGGGGCATCATTACAGTATTGTTTTTGGCCAAAAATTTAACATTTTTGGAATAAATTTTGCTGCCACGCGTTTCATACCCAAAACATTCGAAAAAATTTCATGGCATGAGCCAATCGATATACCAACATCATCAGCGACTTCTCTGATGGTTTATAACCAGTTCTTCCACTTTTTCCATGTTTTTATCGGTTGTTAATGTGTTTGTGTGTTCGGGGCATTCGTCATCTTCAACGACTTCACGGCCATCTTGGAAACTCTTATACCACTTGTAAACTCTTGTTTTACTTATAGCAGACTCACTATAGGCCTTTGTTAACATTTCACAGAATTTATTTCATTTTTTAAGCAAAATTGGATACAAATTCTTTAATTCATTTCTTTTAACGAACGAAAATCGCCGAGCTCATAAAACACGTCTAACCTTAGCGAAACATTGAAAACAGTTTTTATCATACTTCGGGGGCATATATACCAACATAATATAAAACATTTTATGACAACCGGACCCTCCGAACCCGCGAAATTTAACAATTCCCGTTATTTTTTGAACACACCTCGTATGTATGTGTATAATTTAAATACTAAAAAAATTAACTTGCCCAAATAAATTATACTTACTAAAGAAATTATTTTTTATTATTGGAAATAATATTGTTTACTACAGAAGTGAACTGTTAGTTTTGTCTTTCATTAGTTGATAGTTGATATATTTTAAATTTATAAATGTAAACAAAAATATTTTTATATGGGAAAATTTTAAACCAATAATGTTTTAAATTAAATAATTATTTAATAAATGTTAAAACGGCGTGCTATAAATAATTTCGTATTTTCCGTGAATTCCTTTCTTACTTTAAACTTTAAACTTTAAAGAGATACATTCGTACATGATAAATTAAGTCAAGCATTTAAAAATGGACTTTGATAGGCAATCAACTTAAGATACCAAGTGATTTAATTTCCTATCGTGCTCGTACAGGAAATACGTATTTTCCGTACCCATAATGAAATATATTATCATGGTAAATATAGCTTTATTATAAGAAACATTTCTCTAGTTATTCTGTGTATTTACATGGCTTCTAACAAGGAGACTAGAAAATCGTTTTAATAAATAAATCAAATAGGAAAGGCATAGAAGGAGGAGATATTACCGACAAAAGCGATCGACCTCAATTTCCGCTGATATTACCAACCCAACGTCAACGTCGTAATAAACTTTTATGCCTTCAAAGATATCAAACAATATTTGATACACCCTAAACGGTCATAACTTAAGATGAATAAAAAATGAAATGAATTTCGGGAGATAATTTTAGGTTGTTTTTTTGGTCGAAGATTTAGTGTCACCTTTTTTTGTTGGGTATGTTTTTTATTGGGATAGGCGCCTTGAAAAGGTTAAATTGGATTTATGTTATTTTTTATTTCCTTGGCATTTAAATGAAAAAAGATATCAAGACCAAGATAAAAAACTATACGCGAAGCGGTTAAAATTTCAAATGTAGTTTACTTTATAAAGCAACAACAAGAACAGAAACATTATTTATGTATCAATTTCAAGTATCTGAAAGGCTACAAAAAAACTGGAAAAAAACGTGCACTTCTTTTAAGAGGCATCATTGGTTTCTTTTAGAGGCATGGAATACCTAGACTTGGAATTTTTTAAAACTAAATAAATAATGTTAAAAACCTAGCCTCCAAAATTGCCTGATTATCCACAATTTTCTGAGCCATTAAAAGTAGTTTTTGATTATTTATTTTAAATAAAATATTTAAAACTTTTATTTTTTACACCTAATGTTTAGAATTCCTTAAATCAGATAAGTGTGTGGTATAAATGTGTTTATAAATGGTTTAAACATTGTCACTTTAATGCGTTTTAATTTTAATTCTAAAAATGACCAGTGTCCAATTACTGGGTGGTAAAAAATGTAAATTTCTATAATTGGACATATGTCCAATATCATACTCTATTTGTATCCCTGACATTTACCAGCCAATTCTTATGTAAAATTGTCCCCTGAATCCGAAGAGACTGTCAAAAACTATAAAAGTTAAGCAGTTTTTGAGATATAGTCAATTCCATATTATATGTAAAATTGATTATATTTCAAAAATTGTCGTACTTTTATAACTTTTGACGATATTTTCGGATTCAGCAAATTATATTTCATAGGAATTGACTGCCAAATGTCCTGGATACAAATTGCTGTTGACGAGAATTATTCGTGGCTGCTTTTTCGCTATGATATTTTTGACCAATTCATATTTAGAAAGTATTTAATATAGTGATTTCTTCGTCACAGGACATCTTGCAGAATAACAGTGATTTAAATACAGTGCATGATAGAGAACATAAAAAAGTAATGGCAACAAAATTAATAAATTCGGAAAATACTTTTAACATACCACCCGAAATAATATTAGATATATAAAAATCATCCTGTTTCGGCCTAAACATTATGAATGCTAGAGATACCACACTTAATGATATTTGCAACAAACTATTTCAGAAGTCAGACCAAGGAATTAGTAGTTACCTTCAGAATCCAGAAAAGGGATAAGGAATCCGAGAAAGAAAAATATGAATTATATGATATTTACAAAAACGAAAAAAAAAATTACCTAAAACAGCTATTTATCTTTAAAAAATATTTAAAAATGTATGTTATTTGATGTAAAGTTGTTATGTTTATTTGAAAATTGTATGTCCAATAACTATGTTTTTATAAAACTATTATTAAAAATTCAAATATTCTTATTTTTAAGTAAACGTAAATAAAGTTTAAACAAACAAACTATCCTTTTTAAATATTTATAAGAAAAAAACTAAAATCTTTAAAACAGCGGCATACATAAATTATAAATAAACAATCCAATTAGTATCCAATATTTATGTGGTTTACCCTACATACCAGAAGCGCGAATTTTAAATTTTAAACATAATTTTAGGAACTGTGTGCCAAAATTTGAACTGTCAACAAAATTGGTTATGTTCGAATTTTTAGGAAGACATCATACGTTTTTTGTAATACAATTTTTAAGAGACAAAGATGGAAATATAAAGTGGAACAAGGTAGGGATTTTGAATCGATTATCGAAAAAACGATTTTTTTAAATATCGTTTTTTAGGATCTATTATTAGATGCTAGATTTTTTAAACATCAATTTTTTGTTTCCGATTTTTTTTTAATAATTGACGTTTAATTTTTTTTAGTTTCTAAATCTATTCTTGCATCTTTTTAAAAAAAATGTCATTCCTAGGACGAATAGATTTTTCGCTTGCAATATTTTTTTGTAATTTTTACTTTTAAAGTGTAATATTTCGTGGTTAAGAAATGCATTTCATAAGTTGGTGTTAAAATATTAAGTTTTTTAAATTTTCATAAGTTTGTTATTTTTATTAAAATTTTTACTTTTTAAACCTAAAACCTAAGACATAAAAATAACAAAAATAATTTTTTTTAAACTTTATCTGTAACTCGAGAACAACAACAAACTTCAGTACGTGCTTTTCGAAATATATTAATAACGAAAAGAAAAATACAGAAATAAATATTGGAAGATAAATTATAGTGGAAATTTATAAATGAATTATTATGAATCATGATAAAAAACATTTATTTTATTTATCAAAAATAAGAAAAATAACAGTATCCATCAAACATTGTATTAAGCAACAAAATATTTGTGTTTTGTGTAAAATAACAACTGTAACATTTTAGCGTGGGTTGTGAATTTTGTAAATATAATCTTAAAAACTTTTGTTTTTCATGAACAGTATTTTAACGATTAAATTTACAATACCGTTTAAATTTGCTTGATTTACTCCTATCTATTAAAAGCCAAATGCAATCTAGTCTATAATTATATCAACACCAAAATCAAAAAAATGCAACAAATTTTATTTATACAAAGTTTTCAGTTAAGGTATTGATATAAACTCAGCGATACTTGTTTCACACATACTGATGTCGGTTTCTGAGTCCTGGGCAAAGTGTTGCTCACTTGTGCGGAAATTCCGGGGGGGCTCAGCGGCGCGAGGGGGCACGACGGCCTATGGGGCTGCTGGTGAAACTTGGGCTGGTACGGCTCGAGCATCCTGATCTTGCCCCACCTGTTGAAAAACAGGGCGATCGCGGCCACCCAAATCACCAGGACCAGGGCCACGAGCAGCACTTCTTCGACACGTACGATCACCACTGGAGGATCTAAAGAAGAATTTTGGGGTGTTAAAAAAATTTAGCTTAAAAAAGATTAGTATACCGGGTGTATCTGAGAATAGGCGCACCCTTATAACTTTTTTATTTATAAAGATATACACATAAAATTTTGCATGGTTAATAAGGATATAAAATGCCACTTACACGGAAAAAAATCCCTTACTAGGTTTAAGAATAGTTCTATACTTCATGTTAGGAACTTGATTTAAGTATATTTATTATTTCTATGAGATTAGAGTACATTTAAACTAAGTAATGGGATATACTTAATTTTTAAGAAAAACTCTTACTTGATTTGAGATGAGTATTCTTGGATTGAGTTTAAAGGTATTTTATTTTAAAGAATATTGGTATACTTAAATCAAATATACAATAATGCTTAGATGAAAGAGCTCTAGTTTTTTACTCAAAGCGGAATATTGCCAATTATTTTAAGTATTCTGTATATTTGTATGAAATTTCGGTATACTTTATTTAAATATATGTATATTTAATACAAGAACGCTTACTTCAATTTAAGTATAAGACCTCTAGAACAAAGAATACACTATACTGTATTTAAGTATAGCTATTATTAAAACAAATACCTAATTCTTCGCTTAAGTAAATACCGTCCACCCTCTAAGACCGCTTCGCTAAAAGAAAAGACGCAGTTTCTATGTTCAGTTCTGTCCTGTGTTTTATGGTGGTAGCGTGTGTTCGTTTTTTCCTTTTTCGGTCTGGATGTTATTTTTAATAAAAAATAATGGAGAAGAAACTTAAAAATTAGAATGCTTAGAATGTTTACTAGACACATTTTTGGGTAAGTAAATAATATTTCATTAATTTAAAGTAATTAACTAGGCATGATCGTAAAAATGTAGTGTAAAATGGATAGGTATACTGTAGTGTAAAATGGATAGCATACGACAGGTAATAGACAATAGCACATAAACAGCAGAAAGGCTATAGCCTACAATTCAGCTATATTATTTTTGTTTTAGAAAACGAGATAGATCTCGATATTACGGTAAACCTAAGCGAGGAGAATTTAAAGGAATCAATTCCAAAAATAGGATTGAGGATCAAGGTTAGAGAAAAAATTGAAGAATTAACACCAAACCATCGATAATGGTAGCCTTCTTAGAGACTCATTTTACAAATTATTTAGCTGGAGATAAATTTTACTGACAATAAAAATACCTACTTAAAAAAATAATAACTATTGTGATTAAAAACCTTACCTTTACATATAGCACCAAAAATGTGATACCTAGGTACTACAAAAATAAAATGTAAAATAAAGTATCTATGTTAATTAACCGTGAAAGAATGAATTTATATAAATTGACAGTACTTTTTCTAATACCTCTAAGACTGTTAGGTAATAAACCTATTGTGATATCAGTGCCTATTATACTTAGTACTTTAGTACATTAAAATAATTAAAATAATCTGCCAAAAATAATGTTAAATTACTGTCATAACGATTATATTTTCACTTTCACTTGTATTTTCCGTAGTGTAGGATAATTAATACAAATATTTTTCAGGGTCACGAATGTTTTTTTTTTGTAAAAATTATTTCGAGTCGCTAGACGAGGGAATTTTTTTTTTCCAATCAACCACTTTCTTTAAAAATACTGTAAAAGTATTTTAAATATATACTATACTTTTATCAAATATAAAAAAGGAAAAGTAAGAATACAAGCATTTTATGCAAGTAAAGCGTGTACTTACAATAAGTATAAATAAATAAATTTTAAAGAAAGTATATTCTTAAAACAAGAATACTGTAGTCTTCATTGAAACCAAATTTGTATACTTAACTCAAAATTAGTGTGTTTCTTATTTTTAGTATAGCAGTAATCTTAGATTAAACCGAAGCTATCTTTATTTTATAAGAATATGAGGATACTTGAAACAAGTATAAATTTACTTGCGGAATAGGGAAACTAAGCTATACTTGGATAGAGTTGAATTTTCTTGGAATCAGTATAGATATTTTTCCGTGTATAAGAGTACAAAATGAATTTTTTAAACTTCCGGTTTCGCCGGAAATGATACCAACTTTCGATTTTTAAATGAAATGCCCTATACATTTTTACATATTTGGAATCCTGAGAAAATTCTGAGTCGGGCAGCATCCTCAAATTGACCTTTCGGCGTTTCGTCATCAGAAAATGTATCATCATAAAGATCAATGTAGAGTGCTTTGTATGATTATTGTTAAAACTAAGGAATTCCAGGGATAATAAATAATAAAACCATGAAATAATTATATTTCCAGTTATATTTCCTGTAGGAACTAGGTAATAAAAAAACATCAAAGTTGGACTTAATTATTTAGTTATTTTAATTATTATTTTACTTCGAAAAATACAATAAAAATAGCTTAATAATTATTAAGATAATTAAAAAATTTATTCGCGTTAAATAACGCAAGAAAAATATAGGCATTAAAAACCCTATTTTTTTAAACAAAAATTTAATTTATTCCCTAGGGCTAGAAATTTTTGTATGATCTTAATAATATTAAGTGAAACTAAAGAAATATGAAGAACTAAATTTTACTGCAATAAATATTCATTTCTTTATGGAAAGGTTTTTCATCTCAAAATAATTTATATTCATAAATATTTATCATATTCATTATCAACTTCGTCAAAAGAAAGAATTTGTAAGCAATAATTAATTGTTTTTTGATCTTTCATAATTAAGTAGATATTACAGCTCAGGTTCCAGATTTTTAACCGCAATTAATTATTTTTTACAATGTTTTAAAAGTCTGAAACCTATCCTCCGTGAATGTTACTCTTTCTAGGTTAACCTATATGTTTTCAAATGTCTGAGGTAGTAAAAGCATACTAAAAATATCAGTTCACTAAGTAAATTAAACACATCCAAAGCAATCGAATCAAATATAAAATATTATTAAAAATAAAAAGAAATATTTTTTATAATCATTTATGTAGGTGATACAAAAACTGATTATATCCTCCGTGAATCTGTTTTTGCTTTAAATTTTATGCAACGGATGGCACTTTAATCATTTTAAATAAGCAAAAACTCTGTTTACGACTTTATAGATGAGAGTGTTGCTGTTTAATAATTCAAAAGTTTAAGATCATTAATTTAAAAACCTATCTACCGTGAAGTGTAAACCCAGTGAGGCTTTTATTATTAAATATGTATACTTTGAGAAAAAAACAGTGAAATCCTGTTTAAAATTGGTTACCCCTAATTTTTCGAACATTGTGATAGATCCTTAATAAACTTTTAAATTCTTTCATCATTCAACCCCATATATTCTATTCAAGCTCAGAGATCAAGGGTTTTATTAACTTGAAATGCAATGTAACATAATTTAAGATATCTCTCTAAAAAGGTAACCTACAATTTGTAACGCAGTCACGTCTGAGCAAATTTACGTGATTCCTATAAATTTGACAGAAAGAGCGTAGGTAGGTAGTTAATATAATAAATTATATGAGCTAGTTGGAATTTATAAATAAAAAACGTAAGCTTAATGTGTCTATTTTTGGTAGCACACCCACTACATGTATACAGAAGAAATTACATATTGTTTTTAAAGTAAACTTTTGATAATGGTCTTAAACTTTGCTTAATCAATACTTTCTTACACATGTTGTATCTGTCTTATTTGATAAATTAATATGCCAAGATTATGGTATTTGCAAATCTAGAATATTCACTTGGATGTAGGAATTAGACAAAATCTGTCAGCATAAAGGATATGTAAGATAAATTAGGGACTAGTTCTATTAAGTCTATGACAAAAACAAATGATCATGTGCATTTATAATTTAAATTTTCTATGATAAAAATAAACAAAAAGTTACAACATTTTATAGTAAATTTTGATTTTAGCGATTTATTGATTATTAATGATTGCTAAATGAGGAATTTTCACATCCAATTATAGTAAAATATATTAATGTCTTAATATTAAATATTTTTACTTTTTTTATTTAAAATAAAAACCCCCAATCTCTCTTTAAATACTATAATATCGTAACAAGTTTATGTACAAATGACATTTGTTTTTTGGTCCCTTATTTCGAAACAATTAAGTTTAATTACACTAAAAGGTATGTGACGCTTAATTCGAACAACATGGTGGTATTAAAGCGCTTAGTGCTCCCAAACCAATTAAAACAGACTGAGCTACCAAATAAATAACACATTTTTTAAACGCCATCAGAGTAAAATAAACATTATAAAAAATTAATTAGTTAAAGTTTTTGCTAGAGGGTTAATTGAATATAAATTTTTTTATAGTTTCAGATGAGTCTGATAAGGGTTTATCCTTACTAGAGAATCAGCCGAATAAAAAAATTTAATGAACTTCTTCGCTATTTTAATATACTGCTGTATTTTTAGATGAAAATTACTTTGCATTTAAGATTATTAAAATCTCTTTGTAAATATTTAACAATACCCGAAATCTTAAATTATCATCTTTAATGAAAATCCAAAGTATAAGAAAGCATAAGAAAATTGAAGCTCGTTTATTCAATATTTTATATTTTAAGATTTTCCAATTTAAATTTCAATAAATATTCATTGAAATATAATTTGTCTGCTCCCCAACACAAACTTATCACAGGATTGAATTTGATACGTATTATACAAAACAATAGTATATTGTATTAGGTTTCCGGTAAATGGGATTTTCCTGTTTAAAGCATTCTTCGAATTTCATCCAAAAATTAAAAGGGTGTTATGTAATGTAATATATTAAAATACTGAATACCTTTTGACATAAGGTGTAACGGAAAAATATTTTAAAAAATATGTTCCCAAAGACAAAGAAAAAATATGCATTAGAAGATTTTTATATACAGGATCCAAAGAAATCGAATCAAATATAAAATATTATTAAAAATTAAAAGAAATAATTTTTATAACCATATATGATTCTATCCTTCGTGAATCTGTTTTTGCTTTAAATTGTATGCAACGGATGGCGCTTTAATCATTTTAAATAAGCAAAAACCTCTGTTTACGACATTATAGATGCATGTGATTCCGGAAGGTCAGTTAGAATTTATATGCAGATGATAGTGTTGCTGTTTTATAATTCAAAAGTTTAAGTTCAATAATTTGCTATTTAAAAACCTATCCACCGTGAAGTGTAATATCTCAGTAAGTAGATTTTTTTTTATAAATATTTTATGTATATACAATTGTATTTTTAAAAAATATTAAGAAGTCAAAAGATACAATAACTTATTTCAAACATACCAAGGGATGTTTTAAAAAAACATACGAAATCCTAACCTCCGTGAAGCTATCTTCCGTGAATCTAATAATATTAAAAATGTATGGTTTCTTAAAATTCTTGCATTAGTCAGAACCACTTATGTTATGTTATTACTAGACCTGGTGGCTTTCCAAAAACCCCATTCTAGGCTAACAGTGAAACAACCAAAAATAAAAAATAATCATATCACTTGGGGGACATCTCAATATATTCATATATTTTATCACGAGAACTATGAATTTAATCGATTAAACTAGGATCAGTAGTTTTTTGTTTGGTTTTTGTTGGAAAATGTTGAATGCAAAATAATTTAATAAAATCACGAGACCGCGTAGCGGTCGAGGGGTTTTATTTTTAATTATTTTGCATGAAACTATTTTCCAAAAAGAAAAATCAAATAAAAAACTTACTGAGCATAGTTTGACAGATTAAATTTATAGGTTGAGTGATATACGTCTAGATTATTTCTCGAATTAAAGGAAACTATTTGACAATTCATAAAATCTGACGTATGTGTCAAAATTTATAAATATTTTTTTAAAGAAAATTCCATTAATTATGTAATTAGGTATGTAATAAGTAATAATTGATATTTCGTAAACTAGATAACTTATTTTTTATTGTTTTTTAAAAATGTTTGTTAAAACTTGTAAATAACACCATAAAATCGTAAACAAAAATCCAATATGGAGGCTAAACTTTAATCGCTGTTAAATAGTTCTAGTGATTTAATCGCTTATTTAAACGAAATTAATTTAAAAATGCAAGGCTTTTGATTGGTTCATATTATAATGAGGGAAATAATCACCCTTATTATTTAATATAATCTTAAATATTGAAAAAAAAACTCCCTTTTATATAATGTTAAACTAAAAATAATTCTTACCATAAACCATCTAAAACTATAAATTAACTGGACGTTTTTGGTAAGGATGTCTGATTTATATGTAGCCCAAGTGAAAAGGACTCTAAGGACTTTGTCCTAGTTTCCATGGATATAATTCTTCGCCCTAATCAAATGTAGAACGTGCTGGATTGAACCAGAAAAAACGCTTGGGAGCTGGATTAAAACCCGAGTGTGTTCCAGTTTGATGGCCGATAAAGTAAAGATTTTACTTCGATAATTAAGTAAGTGAATTTATTGAAATTATGTTGCCAAGTATTTTTGGCTTTCAATTCGGACTGCATTGCATGCTCACAAATCAAGTAAAAGCTTCCAGTTCCTGTGAAAGTAAATTAATTAATGGGAATACCGGTCGAGGAGAAACAAGCAAACTTACTTGTTTGTCTTTGAAATAAAGATTTAAGTGAAGAAAAATATTTCTTGAAAAATTAGAAGTAAAATGTTGTTATTGTCGATTTAACTGTTTATCTACTACTCTTGCCAATCATATATGAACAGCCGGTTATTATAAGTATTATTACATATTTGTCTACGCTAATTATAAATTTAGATGCAATAATAAAATCAGTTTTGAAGAAAATAATTTTATTTAATCCTAATTTTATTTTACCTATTTTTCCTAAATTATAATATTTAAAAGAAAGACAACTAATTTTTTAATCTTACTACCTAAATTCTTACTTTAAATTTTACTATGAAAGACATGTTTTTTTGTAATATTGGGGTTTTCGTATTTGGATGACATAATTCTTATAGGTGAATATATTGAGATGTCCCCCAAGTAAAAATAATCATTTTTTATTTTTGGTTGTTTCACTGTTAGTCTAGAATGGGGTTTTTGGAAAGCCACCAGGTCTAGTAATAACATAACATAAGTGGTTCTGCACTAATGTAAGAATTTTAAGAAATCATACATTTTGAGCTTCACGGTGGTTAGGATTTTACATTTTTTTGAACATCCCTTTGTATATTTAAAATAAGTTATTGTATCCTTTGACACCTTAATATTTTTTAAAAATACAATTGTACATACAAAAAATATTTATAAAAAAAATCTACGTACTGAGATATTACACTTCACGGTGGATAGGTTTTTAAATAGCAAATTTATGAACTTAAACTTTTGAATTATAAAACAGCAACACTCTCATCTGCATATAAATTCTAACTGACCTTCAGGAATTACTTGCATCTATAATGTCGTAAACAAAGGTTTTTGCTTATTTAAAATGATTAAAATTTAAAGCAAAAACAGATTCACGGAGGATAGAATCAATTTTTGTAACATCTACATAAATGGTTATAAAAATTATTTCCTTTAATTTTTAATAATATTTTATATTTGATTCGATTAGTATGTTTTACTACCTCAGATATTTGAAAACATAGGTTAACCTAGAAAGAGTAACAGTCACGGAGGATAGGTTTTAGACTTTTAAAACATTGTAAAAAATAATTAATTGCGGTTAAAAATCTGGGACCTGAGCTATAATATGTACTTAATTATAAAAGATCAAAACACAATAAAAGTGTAGGTCAAACTCATTTAGTTTTATTTAATATCACGGGGTAACACCATCGGGGGACATTTCGTGAGATTCACCCATTATCATACTATTTAATATTAAATTCCTTACAAAATCTACCATTAAATTATAAATTTGCTTTTATCCGACAGATTTCTCTATCATACTGGAGAATAATTATGTCATTTGCATAATATGTTGTAGACATTGCAGCATTATAATAATAAGCTGGGCTTAGAGATTATTAATGGATTTCTAGGCAAAATAATTTTCACAAATTGTGTTCAAAAGTCATAATACATAGTTAAATTTACATGCAACTGTTTTATTTGATGTTTGTATAATGTTGGGAACCATAAAAATGTAAATTGTTTTAAACTTAGTTTTGAGTTTAAAATTAAATTCAACAGTATAAAGTAGAAATGCGTAATATGTTTTTTCTACTCCTATTACGGAATTTGACCGTTCTAATGTCACTTTTATCTATGGAATGACATATTCCGTAAAGTGTTACAGAATGAAATATTCTATCATCGGATGACAGAATGAACACTCGTGGCGACATCTCTGTTTTTAATATCTAACAAATTTTAGACCGATCCAACCTCACTTTCTTCCAATTAAATTATTTTTCTATGGTATTTTTTGGAAACGTAGAAAAAAGTAGTCTGAAACACGTTTGGAATTGCATATTCCGCTCTCGTGAAACCGTTAAACTCGCCTTCGGCTCGTGAAACTCTTTACTCGAGCGGAATATGCTGTATTCCAAACTTGTTACAGAATACACTATTAAAATATTATTTTAGACAATTGTTGCAAAAATGGCGAATGCACCGGGATTAATTATCTTTAAATGTCAATAACAAACAAATTCATTTAGTTAAGGTAAATAATTTTACACTTTGTCATACTTTTTTGTATGTGCCATTGGTTTAATTTTAAAATAAAATAAATAACGGGCCATTTATACTAGCGATACATTTTTTAATAATGAAATTACTTTTTGAGATTTTCACGTGTGTTTGTCTGTTTTTAAAACTCACCTGCCACAGGATATGTGGGCGTATTGTTGACCAGTGATGAGGTGGAGTCGTCCTGGAAAGGACCAAGTCCTGAAGAGGTATCTTCTCGTACCTCCACCTCCATGTCGGGAAGGCCACTGCGGCCCTTTTCCCACTCTGAAAAAAATTAATATTAAAAAAATATAATTTTTAAATTCTACACCCCAAGTATGAAAAGGTTTACAAATGCATTATTTACTAGAGAAGGCAGGTCTACTTAATTGATCACAATTAAATTCTGAACCTAAGCTACGTATAAATCGAATTACCTAATAGTTTCTTAACTCCATTAAATACTCTATCCGCCCTACTTACTATACGTACGTACTTTACTCCCTTAAGATAAAGGTATAAGGAAGCAAGGAGGGAAGATTAAATTATTTCGGTATTTTGCGTTGACTACAATCCTCATTTAAGTAAGTTGAAAAATACAGAGTAAAAAACTCGAATGTAAAGTGTCAGGTCTGTGTAAAAAGAAAGTTTATTTTACGAATTCTGTAGTGGTTGCTAGAGATTTTGACTCTGAGGTACAGAACTAGTTGTTGAAATATGACATTTCTTTTTTGGCGCGAGTTCTGGGACACTCTGTATACTCTGAAAAGATAATTTCCAAGTCTGTTAATTTGTTTTCTCGAAAGACTACTGTTCTAAATTTAAATTACTCCTCTTTGAGGTGGCAAGGGTTTGTGTTTGACATAAAATGATTCAGCGACAAGGTTTTAAGGTTTAGCGCCGTGTTCGATATCTCTTTCAAGTATTTTAAGGACTTTCAGGGTCCCGTGATTACCATTTCAAAACTGGTGTATTCGACTTTTAGATTTTGTCCTGGAATCGACCTCATTTTTCGAGTGAAACGTTTGTGTTGTCTCCCCGAGGATCTATTTCATTTATTTGTGTTAAAATTGGAGTGGCAATGGATGCCTCATACAGGGTGTATAAAATAAATGAGAGACTTTGAAAGTGAATATTACAAAAGAGTATAGCAATAAAATTAAATAAAACTATACAAAACGTATGTCTTGGTTTATTTTTTACTTTTCATTATATATTATATATAATATAATACACTTTTTTAGTATTTTACCGTTGTACCGTTGGTTTGTTTTATAATTTTTACAATTTTAACGTAAATAATTATAATTAATAAAATGGGTATTTAGGTATCTAATAGGTACAATTTATATTTACAGGGACCGTATGCAATTTATTTCTTCATTCAGATTTCCACTGTTTATTAGGAATAGATAGTTTTAACACTTTACAGAGTATTTTACGTTACAATTTTTTTTAAATAGTATAAGAAATAGTTCTGGAAACAACTAAAATATTTATGTAAGTCAATAATGTTCCATTTATACTTGCAATGTAGCTTAATCGCGGTGCTGTTCTGAGAGGTGATTTTTGGACTTTCTGTGAAACCTAATTTTTTTTTATATTCTTGTTAATTAGGTCATAACTAAAATTTTAAGAGCAAAATAAAAAAAATTTGACTGTTAATTTTGTTTTAATTGGATGTTTATTAAAAATATGTATGCACACTTTCAATTCTACAATTAAAACTTGCGATTTTATTTAAATGAAATGAATCCGAAAATGTTCTAAAAGTGGAACAGTTTTTGAAATATAATCAGTTTTACATATAATATGGAATTGACTATATCTCAAAAACTGCTTAACTTTTATAGTTTTTGACGGTCTTTTCGGGTTCAGGGGACAATTTTACATAAGAATTGGCTGGTAAATGCCCGGGATATAAATAAGGTATGATATTGGACAAATGTCCAATAATAGAAATTTACATTTTTTATCAACCAGTAATTGGACACTGGCCATTTTACTGTTTGTTTTCAGAATTAAAATTAAAACGCATTAAAGTGACAATGTTTAAACCATTTATACCACACACTGATCTGTACACTTTTTAGAAATATTTTTTATTGTAATTTAAACACAGCCCTGCTCTTAATAAAAAACAAAAATCCTACCACCAAAGTAACGTGCGAACTTTTTTGTCCCATATTGTACCCAAAATAAAGTAGTTAAATTATCTATAATATTCATTTTTAAAAAAGTATTTCGGTACCAGTACCTCATATATGAGAGACATTTATTTGTCATATTAAAATTAGTTGCATTATAACAAGTTTATAAAAAACCTTGTCATACTAAGAGCTAAATATTCACAATACAAATATTATGAATAGTTCTCGAATTTTATATATACACATTGAAGTACGCTTAAAAGTTATTTTTAGGTATAAATTTTGTTTCTTAAATATGTTTTTATTGCGCATCTGTTAAGTTAAACATGTAGATTTAATTAAGTCAGAAAATGTCGGACATTTAAAGATTTTTAAACCGATTTATTTTTATGAATGTTTCCAATAGAAGTGTCATTAATAACAAGTAACCATTAATCACTGGTTCTTTTTTATTATACTCTTTTATGGTCAAAAATCTTTTCAATCAGGAAAAAAGATAGCATTAGAGGATGCTTGAAAAAAATCCAAAAACGCTGTGAACATTAGTTTTATATTTCACATATTTTCTGTAAAAATCATATAACTTGACCTTAGTCCTAAAATGAAATAGTCAAAAGTAAATAAAAATGCTGGAATAAAATATCGTAATAATTTAAGCAACGATTCCATTTTTATGGCAGTATTGTACCTGTGTTGTGTTGTAGTAACTTTGCATTTTTATATTAAAAATGGTTAAATTTTTTAAAGACAAAGAATTTTAAAAGGTTTTTGTGTGGAAACTAATTGAATGAGTCAAAGTAAAATTAATTTTAGAAAACAAAGAAAACTAAATAACAATTAAAAGCGTATGGGCATTGTATTTTAAATACACTGTACGACAAAATTTTATTTTTTCCCTCCCATGAAAAATTTCTATAGATTTTGAAAATAGACTTAAAAAAATAATATAACAGATTCGATAACAGCTAGACAGTATATTTTTATGAAAAATTTATTCACTGAATAAATGGACAACCATTAGGATTATTTATTTATTTTAAAATTATTTTAATTATATACAGGGTGTTGCACATTTAAGAAATACGGGTGTTTCACGTTCGTGGTCCATTGAGAGTTTCTGAGGAACGGCAAATGATATCGATTTGAAATTTTTAAAGCGTTTATAATCTAATTAAGCCTATTTTTCTAAAATATTTTAAACAAAATGCCATTTTCGGCTTGACCGGAAGTGACATCAACTTTATGTAGAATTTAAAAATGTAAAAATATATGGGGTGTTCTATTTAAAATAACAAATTTGATGTCACTTCCGGTCAAACCGGAAGTTGCATTTTGTTTAAAATATTTAAAAAAATAGACTAATTGGATTATAAACGCTTTTAAATTTGAAATCTATATTTTTTCCGTTCTCTAGAAACACCCTGTTAGATAATCAAACTGGGAGATTTACCTTGGTCGCTGGATTAAACTAGAGTGGACTGTATCATTGTTTTTATTAAACTACACTTTAACTTACTTTAACTAATACTAATTTGACTAAATTATACATTAAAAATGGTACTTTTTTGTGTTTTCTTGTTGCACGCGTTAGATGCTTCTTTTCAATGTCAATTGCACTCTGCCACACCCTCCTTTCTTGGCATTTTTTCTCCCCTCTTCACCGGGGTACTACCAATAAGATTTCTTACTTTATGGCGCGCTTATTTAGCTAATTTAAATTGTAACACACCCTTTATATCAAGTGGTGTTTTTAGGTTGTGATACCACTACAGATTCGAAAGCAATGTATAATCGTCAAACTAAAAGATCAAGATTTGTTTCCAACATATATTAAATATAAGATAAATACAAATCTGTTGTTTTAATTAAAAAAAATCAAAAATTAAAACCAGAAATATTTTCTTTACTTAAAAAAAATAAAATTGTTATTTTCTTTAAGTTTAATTTTTGTATTATGTAAAAACATAAAATATTTGAAGAAAAAAAATTATTTATAACAAAATAGGGAATAAAAAATCTGTTTAGGTTAAAATAATAAGAATGGCTGTGTAAAAAAATTAAATGACGTGATTTTGTGAAACGGTGGGACACGGTACGTTTTTTAACCTTTATTTTTAAAATCTGTTAAAATTTTTCATGGGAGGAAAATGTGTTATACATTTGGAAGTATAGAAACATTTTTTTTTTGGATATAACTTTTGTTTAGTAAACATTTTTCCTCTAATAAAACCGGTTGTTTTTTTATGTATTTTCAAAGCTATTTCTTCTTATATTTTTTCATAAGAAATATAAACTTATTCTTGCTAAATTTGCTGGCCCAAATTATAAACATCAGTCCTGCTCCTGGATTTATTTCAGGACATAATTTTATCCTTTGCTCTCTCCTTTCTGGCATTTTTATCCTTCAGGGATTACTTTTACTTATCTTGGGGAAACCAAAATTTATTTAGTGCCAAACTGTCACAACAATAGATTGCATCGCTTAAATTTTAACAATAGGATTTTACTTAACGTTTTAAGTTGTGATATACAGTGTGTTGACATCCAGCGATTTTTTTTAAGGTCTTTTGGAACAGTTCCTTTTAAATTCCTATTTATTCCTATTTAAATTTTTACAATATCATTATTGGGGATAATTTCCAATACTTTGCACTTTAATTTACTTTTAACGATTTTACGTAAGGATTTAGTCAAGTTATTTATTTTTTTTACAGGAAAAGGGTGGGATATAAAACCATTGTTGACAGGGTATTTCCGTATTTTCTTTTTAGGGTCCTCTTCCAATGATGTTTAATGTCTTTCCCCCTGATTGAATAGAGTTTTAGACCATAAAAAGAGCATAAAAAGGAACAGTGATTGATTGCTACTCGTTAATAATGACACTTTTATTAGGCAAATTCATAAAAATAAATGGCTTTAGCAATCTTCAAAGACCAGACTTTTTGTAAATTTATTAAACCAATCGTTTTTATTTAAAAAAAACCTTTAAAAAGGTTAATGTTTTACTTTTATAATTAAAATACAATTCACGCCATTAATTGTTTTTTAAGTTTCTTTGTTTGTAAAATAATTTTTTATGAAAATTCTTTGCATTTGTCAAACCTGTTACTATTTTTAGGTTAACTTATATGTTTTCAAATATCTGAGGTAGTAAAAGCATACCAAAAATATCAGTCACTAAGTAAATTAAACACATCCAAAGCAATCGAATCAAATATAAAATATTATTAAAAATTAAAAGAAATAATTTGTATAACCATTTATGTAGGTGTTACAAAAATTAATTCTATCCTCCGTGAATCTGTTTTTGCTTTAAACTATATGCAACGGATGGCGCTTTAATCATTTTAAATAAGCAAAAACCTATGTTTACGACACTATAGATGCATGTGATTCCTGAAGGTCAGTTAGAATTTATATGCAGATGAGAGTGTTGCTGTTTTATAATTCAAAAGTTTAAGTTCATTAATTTGCTATTTAAAAACCTATCCACCGTGAAGTGTAATATCTGTATAAGTAGATTTTTTTTATAAATATTTTATTTATGTACAATTGTATTTTTAAAAATATTAAGGTGTCAAAAGATACAATAACTTATTTCAAATATACAAAGGGATGTTTAAAAAAAACATACAAAATCCTAACCTCCGTGAAGCTATCTTCCGTGAATCTCTAATATTCAAAATGTATGTTTTCTTAAAATTCTTGCATTCGTGCAGAACCACTTATGTTATGTTATTACTAGACCTGGTGGCTTCCCAAAAACCCCATTCTACACTAACAGTGAAAAAACCAAAAATAAAAAAATATTCACCCAAATATGATTGCGTTTGTATTAAAATCCTTAAATTAAAAGTTGCAAAAATGGCGAATGCGCCGGGATAAGCATTTTAAAGAAATTCTATTTTCATACTCTGTTGACTGAAAAGTAATTGGTTTACTGTAATGATCTTATTACGTAAAATCTCTCATTATTTCTCGGGTATTTTTCGATTTCGTGGAAAAACTGCGAGGTACGCTCGATAAACTCCGGTCTATGTTAAAATATTTACCCACTTTACTTTATTAAAAATAAAGTCATTCTTATAATTATGTTTACAGTACAATAGGTATTGATTAATTAAATGAATTAATTATACCGGTCAATATCTATGAAAACTTTCGAGTTTTTTTCGTTATTCATTATAATATTTTTTGTATTTTCTGAGAACATTTACCATAGTAATGTACATTTTTTTTACACCATCAGAAAGTAGAGAGTTCATCGAACAAAAAACAACACCTACTTGTTGAAAAAAGCTGATATTTTGACGCGAGAATTTTCGATTGAAAATTAGTGTGCTTTTTTGATATTAAGTCAAAATAAGGCGAAATAATAAATATTTCAAATCAAATAAATTACAGTGTATTTGGGACATAAAAAGGTAAGTTTTCGCCAAATTTCGTGAAAAAAAATTTTTTTTTGAAAAAGATAAAAATAAAAAACCAAAAATTTGGTTTTTTGAATTTTTCACATAAATTTTGAGGTTATGTGAAAAAATTGTAAATACAAAAGTTGTAGATCTTTTTATTACCTACAACTTTGACATTTAACTTTTTTCCATAGGACTTGTAGTTTTGCCGGAAATCGAGATAAACCATTTTTTACCCTTAAAACCCCCCCCTCCCACTTCCCGAACTCAGATCGCCCGTAATTTATTTTTCCTTTAATTTTTATTATATTCCCCTCCTTTTCCAATGGGTTTCATCCTACTGTAATTTTTTTTCTCTTTTTACCATTTTGTATTTTTTCTCTTATTTACCATTTTGTATTTTTTCATTTAATTGAATCAGCCCTGTTAATATAGTAGTTTAACCCACAATTATGGCACAAACAACACGTAATTGATTAGATCTTATACCCTTTCTTAATTATTTATTATGAAACCTTTGTTGTTAAAAAATATTATTTAAAAATCAAATGAATTTTTTCTAAATTTTTTTATAACGTGACTTGATATTAATGTGTAGATTATTTTCCAATACTTCTAACAGACAGGACAAACAAACAATATGTTTGAATATTTTTCTGTATAAAATAATAAAGTATTTTCCTAAAACTTGGTTGAATAGAAGCCAATATAGGGTGGCAATAATTTTAATCTATTATGTCCAAGCAATTTCAATAAATCGACCAAAAATCGTTGTACATTTTAATTGGAATGTTATGTCGCATGCTATCTGGTAAATTATTAATCTTGGTTTGGTATTAATTAATATTGATTCAATACAAAATTTCATTTATGCATTTGAAACGTTATAAAAATAAGTAGTATTTTTTGCATTTGTTTCTTAGTTTTTTTTGGTAAAACGACTAAATTAGAAATATATGTAGTTATTCTTAAATGGCTTGATAAAATTTGACAAAGGAGTGTTTTGGTGTTTTTTATATACAATATGTGCACATTTACATGAGCGATATACCGGCGTGCACATATCCGCTGCCAGGGCCGTACTTGTTGTTTTGGGGGGGCTGTGTGGGCCCCCAGTCGGGCCCCCTTTTTTCGCCGCCTCTGCGTCGCTGAGGAGTTGAAGCGACGTATGATGACCCCAGGATGTAACCTAAAAAAAATAAAACCAATAAACAAATATTTAACCTTAAAAACAATATTTTTCTTTTAGCCATCTTTTGGAGAACTTTTGTGTGACAAATTTTCCGCTTTAACTTATAACGAACCGTTTTCCAAAGACTTAATTTCTAAAGTTTAAATTATCCCAACAACTTTAAGAGTCATAATAAAACCTACCAGTCTACTAAGTAGCTTTATTAGCTTTTAACTATATATAACGAGTCATGAAAGTTTGACACAAAGTTGTTGGGTGTTCATTCATCATTTCGACATGTTTTTTATTATGCATAATTCTGTTATTGATCATAACGAATAAGTAAGTAAGTTTATGTTGAAAATACCAGGCAGTTAAATTACTGAATAATAATGGTGACATTGTGTTCTTGTTTTATGTTATTTCTGGTTATTTAATGCCCTACTAAAACTTAACACTGTTAGCAATGCTAATAAAACAACTGTGTACAAGTATAATACGGATTTTAGAATTGTTTAATATAGGGTCATTCAATTATTATAATATTATTCTCCCAGTCGAAAATTCACTTTTTTCTTAATAATATCAGTGTACAGATATTTGTAAATTTTTAGAAAAATTGACTTTTTTATTTTTATTCGTATTACCCTAAATACAATGAAAAAAGCAAAAGTTAATTTTTCCGTTTTTTTCCGGACATTTTTTTTTCCGCTGGCAAATTTTTTTAAACCCTACTTTTGACAGGTAAAAATCTATATTTTAATTGTAAATTGTTAAGGCGTTTTTTTTTATTCAAAATGATATCATTTATATTAAACTGATCACACATTTTTAATGTCTGATTACAAGTCCACTATCTTTTATTGTCTAAGGTCAAATTATTATATACCGCCGTACAATTTTGAAAAATCAATAAAATTACATGAAAATCAGCGTAGGTAACTGTACAATTACATTCCTTGTCCTTATTTATTTCATTATTTTTTTATTTATTTTGCAACAAAATTAAAAAACATCCCCTATAAAATTTGCTTTTATAGTAGTGGTACTAATACAGATTTATATTTTCATAAAAACCTTTTAATTATAGTTATAATTTATTATAAACATTTATTTATTAATGACAGTTATTTTATATTTTTTAAATTTGTTTTAATTTTTATACTTTAAAAACAAAACATTAAATGGCAACGCTACATGCTTATTAAGGTAAATTTAAAAACAACATGGAAGCTTACTCAGAGAAACTAGGAGAAAGTTTCCATTAAGAAGTTATTATCAAATACAATATGGATAGTTCTTTAATGTAAGGAATTGACATTTATTTAGCCTTTGATATAAAATTTAACATCTTTTTAAGTCAAGATATTTAAAAATTACAGATTTATAGCGATTTAATAACCAATTTAATCTACACATAAATAAATGTAATGTCCATTTTAAAGAACATTAAAAAAAATCAATTATGTTCAACCAGAATACTGAGAATTTTCAAAATTTTTAAAAATCAAGTAAACCCAAGCCAAATGTATAATTTTGTTTGTTTAGTTCGTAAGTAAATTTTACCAGGATCCTGAGAAATTGACTGATCGCAACGTAACTTAATCTTTGATCGATACAATTCGCTCTGCTAAATGGCAAAGTCGCCTCAATATTTTGAGTATTTTAAATTTACCAGGATACTGAGACAAAACCTGCAGGATAAAATCTAGTAGGGTGATTTTTTAATACATTTTGGGAAAATGTTTTGTGAAGAATTAATAAACTTTATAATTTTGGTTTAATTTGTGGCCTAATTGTAATAATAAATAAATTAAACGAACTACTTTACTGAGAATAAGGCACTAAAAGTATTTTTGACAGAGATGAATAATTTTAAGTGCTAAACTAAAAACAGATTAGATTACATTTTGCGTGATATAGGCTGAGTTGCCACACAATAGAAGGGAATACTGCATATATGCATTTAATAAAAGACCGTTAATTTTTTATCCTTATTGTTAATAAATTATTAAAAATTTCAAAAATTTAAACCATAATGTTTATTGTACTATTCATTTATAATTTGTAGATCTATTTTAATTCGATTTTATTTTGAATTGTTTAGAACATTCCACGGTTTTTTTTTACCCACTATTGTACGTATTGTACACTAACTATCGTGTCAAAGTTTTTCATTGCTCGGCAATAATATTGATCGACATACCGCGTTATTAATATTAGATTAGAGTCTAAATAAAGAATATTTAAACTCACATTGACCGAAAACATGCCTTCTAAATGAATGGGAGCAAATTAATAGTATTAACGGATTATGTTTGTAAAAAAATATTGTGGAAAAAAGTCAACGATATTTGTAAAAAAATATGAAACATAGTTTGTATTATAAATTGACTGTTCCTTTTAATCAATCAAAAAAATGTTTTTTTCCCGTGTTATTTAAATGGAAAATAAAAAATCGCGATGAGCCACCTCTTAATATTAATATTAAGAGCTTAAACTTTATCAGAATTTTTTTTGTCATCTTGGACGATATTTTCATGGTAACTAAAGAAAAAAAATAATTTTTTTTTTTGGCCCACCCTTATATATATATATATATATATATCCGTCTTTTTTCGACAATTTAAAACCCTACCTTTGTCACACAAGATTTCTTTAATCAAAGTAGAGACAAAAATATCGTATAGGTATAAAAAATAATTGGTATTGATTATCAACTATATACATACTATGTGAATATCATTCGAGCTTTGTAATTAGGGGTAAACGATATACTCCACCTACATAAATAAATTTAAATTTATATGCTCCCATAAATTTTGTAAATTCTCCAATAAATCATAATTTTAATTAACTTGTTTAGTTGTTAACTTAATCAATACCATATGTTATTTAGAAAAGAAGTTTACTTACAAATAAAAAGTATTGGGTACGAATTAGACCTTATTTATAATTTTTGTCAAAATCAATCATAATAATCTTAAATAAGTTAAATTAGGGATGACAAAAGGACCAAAAATATTAAAACACTATTTTAAAATTCTTTGGAAATAAAAAATACAAACATTATTTATACCACATGTTGTGTATGACAAGGGTCCAAAGAAAACTTTATCTAGGCAAAATTGCGAACATTTCTCGAAATTAATAGGCCCTTTATGAATATATTTGCAACGCCTGTGCCCCAATTCGCGCCCTGGGAATCTGCATCGTAAATAAAAAATATTTTTTTACTTTCGTTGTTTGTTATTTAATTAAGGCTAACACTGCTATGTTTAAATTTACCCGACAGACGCAAAAATTTATTATTTTACGGGTGTGCCTTGTTTTTCCAACTAATAATAAATAAACGAGTTAAAAGCCAATTTCTAAATTGAAAGTAAATAGGGGAATAAATAGACGCATTGCGAAATGAAAACAAAATTTGTGTGTTTTAAATACCTTTTTAAACTTATTAAATACTATTGCCCCATCTTTAAAAGCTCCTGAATATTTAGAAGGGATATAAACAGTTTTTTGTGCTCATGTAAATTAAATTTATGAAAAAATATTTCTGACATGTTTTCCATTAGGGGGCATTGTGATATTCGTCAATCAAATGTCGGAAATAGCATCAAAGAGATAGCTCACATTGCTTGCATTAAATTAATGATTTATTCCAGTTTTTTATGATTTTCTCAACATTTCAAAAGGTTTGTATTTGATTTTATTTTATGCACTCGCCATAATGTTTATGGATGAATAAAAAAGATACAATTTAAAGTTTGCAAGACCCTTTTAAAGTTAATTACGAAATTCTTGCTGATCCTTTTCTATAAAACGAAAAAAAAAGGATGTTTGAATATGAAATGTTATTGCCTATTTTTCATAACTTTTAAAGTATATAATGAACAACTCAAGAAGAATGTAACGCAATTTTAAATATTTTCCATTAAAATTTTTAAATTAACTTATAACTAAATCTACTTCCGAATCCCTAAGATCAACTTTATAATTCTTCTTTAAAATCTGAAATTTTTTATGTTCCAAAGTTATTAAAGTTTTGGTATGCGATTTTTTGTAGAAAAAAAATTAAATTTCTATGCTGTATATTTTAAACTCTGACCTTTAAATTTTAATAAATCGGTTTGTACGAATTTCAAATTTAATTTTAAAGTAATTATGAACTTGAGCTGTCTAAAATTTAATAGGTTTATGATATATTTGAAAGTTTAGATCCCATATGTGTATATGGTTGATCTTTTTATTAATAGTACCCACGCAATGTTTGCATAGTAAAGTAAACTGAACAACAAAAATAATGCAAAATAAATTTCAAGAGCAGTTTTTAAACATCGTTTTGGGGTTTATACGAGGTGTGTTCAGAAAATATCGGGAATTTTCGTTTTTTGAAACAAATATTTATTTATTCGTCTACATTAATGTTGTAGCCTTCAAAATAGTCTCCATTGGATATTATGCACATGTGCCAGCTCTTCTTCCAATACTCGAAACACTTCTAAAACTCGATCTTTAGTTCTTTCAGCGATGCGCTTTTAATGTCATCTATGCTTGCAAAACGACGGCTCTTTATTTTTGGGAATAGGAAAAAGTCAGACAGAGGCATGTCTGGCGAATATGGAGGCTGGGGCATCATTACAGTATTGTTTTTGGCCAAAAATTTTGTTCAAAATTTAACAATTTTATAACAAATTTTGCTGCCACGGGTTTCATACCCAAAACATTCGAAAAAATTTCATGGGATGAGCCAATCGATATACCAACATCATCAGCGACTTCTCTGATGGTTTATAACCATTTCTTACACTTTTTCCATGTTTTTATCGGTTGTTAATGTGCTTGTGCGTTCGGGGCGTTCGTCATCTTCAACGTCTTCACGGCCATCTTGGAAACTCTTATACCACTTGTAAACTCTTGTTTTACTTATAGCAGACTCACTAGAGGCCTTTGTTAACATTTCACAGAATTTATTTCATTTTTTAAGCAAAATTGGATACAAATTCATTAATCCATTT